TTCCTGAATTTACTCTTCTTGCACATTTATTCTTTCAGAAATACTCTACCATCGAATCAATTCTTAGAGAACCTTTTCTGCTAGATCACTTATAAAACATCTGTATTCAGTTGCTAATTAATAAACATAATAAGCACTGGGCCATAGAGGATTCTTTGGTCAATGCTGCGTCCCTCTTTTTTAAAAATAAAAATAAATGTAAACTAAAGATTTAATAGGTCTAGCATTCTAAAACAAAGTTAACTAGATTGCACACGGACGCTTGGTAACTAGTTGATTGGTTATATTCCCCTGGAACGTGTGAAAAAACATGTATTAGGGCATCTGTCATCTTGATATACCAGCCAACATTTGCCTATAACCTGTTGTATAAGTTTAAGTACTGTCATGTTGATTTCCCTTTTCAACAGTGTGCAGCTGCTGAGCTTATTCCAGCTCTTCTCATTCTTGTCTACTACTTTAGCTTTAGATTTTGGAGATGCTTTCTCCTCCCTTCAGTTCTCTTCAACAACTACCGGGACTGTAAAAACCTTTGGTTGTTGGGGCGCCTGGGTGGCTCAGTCGGTTAAGCGTCTGCCTTCAGCTCAGGTCATGATCCCAGGGTCCCGGGATCGAGCCCTTCATCAGGCTCCCTGCTCAGCAGGGAGCTGTCTGCTCTCTCTCCCTCTGCTGCTCTCACCCTGCTTGTGCTCTTTCTCTCTGTCAAATAAATAAATAAAATCTTTAAAAATCAAAACAGAGTGGGGGGATGGGTTAGCCTGGTGATGGGTATTAAAGAGGGCACATTCTGCATGGAGCACTGGATGTTATGCACAAACAATCATGGAACACTGCATCAAAAACTAATGATGTAATGTATGGTGGTTAACATAACAATAAAAAAATTATTAAAAAAATTCAAAACAAAACAAAACCTTTGGCTGTTAACTAAGTACTTTAAGGATCTTCCTGTGGCTGTACTTTCTTTACTCCAATATAGAAAATCATTGTGTGTTAGCCTTAGACGGCATCTTGGAGGACTTGTAATCTAGTAGTTTTTGAACTTTTTTTTAAAAAAAGCAGCTTCATCTTTTTTTCAATTAATCTTGTGTAAAACCTCAGTATCTAAAGATAGGATAAATAACACAGGCTTTTCTTTAAGAAGTAAATGAATTGAGAGTAGGGCTTAAGCCTTAGAGCTCTTGGACACCCTGTTGTTGGTCCTTGAGGCACCTCAGAGGAACTGTGTCCTTGTCTTATTTATCCTTGTCTTTTTACAAATAAGGGACCTGAATCCTGGAGTAGTGAATTGCCTCCCTGGGTATAACCTAGATAAGAAAGTGGCAGACTTTGAATTCAGTAGCTTCCTAGTCAAGGACTTTTTCTGTTACACCAAGCTGCTTCTGATGGATTTATTGCTTTCTTAAAAGTTACAGTGATCTACATATGTATTTTTAAATTCTTTTCTTGGCAAGTATCAATTAAATTGCTTCTTGGTTCCCATAAAAATCAAGGAAAAATTATACAATTTAAAATTATTAAATATTTATATGTTGAAAATGTATCTGATATGTAATAGCAAATTTGTAATGAAAAGTTAGTATAATCTGTACATTTATTGAAGATATACTTATTTACATGAATACAGTGTATTTCTTTATGTTTTTGAAATTAAAAAATTACAATTGTTATTCCTAGGCCTAGTGATAGTGGTGATTATCTTAATAGACAGTGTTGTCATTTGTCACAGTGATGGGGTACTGTTTCTACAGATGAATCAGTTTCCAGTCTGTTTAAAAGTGAAAAAGATAATTCAAAATCCGTATTGCAATTTTTTTTTTTTGAAATGAAATAGGCTGGAGATTTGCTTTAACATCATTACTTCTACCTTTTAGTGGGAATAACTTTACCTCTCTGGAATTACTGTAGGGATATATTAAAGTTATCTTTTAAAAATCAAGTTTCTGGGGCGCCTGGGTGGCTCAGCCAGTTAAGCGGCTGCCTTTGGCTCAGGTCATGATCCTGGGATCCTGGGATCGAGTCCCACATCGGGCTCCCTGCTCAGCGGGGAGTCCACTTCTCCCTCTGCCTCTACTGTTTCCCCTGCTTGTGCTCTCTCTCTATCTCTCTGTCAAATAAATAAATAAAATCTTATAAATAAATAAAAAAATAAAAGTCAAGTTTCTTGGGGCACCTGGATGGCTCAGTCAGTTAAGGGTCTGCCTTCAGCTCAGGTCAGGATCGAGCCCCTCATCAGGCTCCCTGCTCAGTGGGGGGCCTGCTTCTCCCTCTCCCTCTGCCTGCCACTCCCCTTGCTTGTGCGCGAGCTCTCTCTGTCAAATGAATAAATAAAATCTTAAAAAAAAAGTCTAGTTTCTTTTACCAAAAAGTAAAAACAAAAACCTTATAGATGGATAAAACAGAGATTTAATTTAAAAATGTAACTGGAAGAAAAAAGTCATTTCTAGAACATTTGGCAATGTCACTGAGGCAGAATGGTCTGTGGAGAAACTTAAGAGTACAATTTAATCATTTTGTACAATGAGTGAGGTTTCTGGGGATAAAAATGGAATTAAAGTCACATGGAAGCATTAGGATAGTAAGCCTTAAAAAGATTTATTTTGTATTTTATGAATATTTGGTTTTTTGTCTATAAAAGCAAAATGTCCTTAGTAAATAAGAATAGCAGTTTGCCCTAACAGGTTTTCAAATTGAAATAGGTTTTAAAGTTACTACTTTTTAGATCTTATGTTGCCTTTGTTTAGGTTTTAATTTATTATTGGAAGGTTCTTGCTTCTAGTATGTGACTTAAGTTTCTTACCTACTTTGTCCTTCCTCTCTGGATTGTAAAAGGCAAGTGACTATATTGGTGTATGTTTGCAGTGCTGCTCCGAGCCACAGTGGAGCCTGGTGCAAAAGGAAAAATCAACAATACTGATGCTGTCTATATTTAAAAGGTTGATGTTTGGGATTTTTCTTTGTGTGTGTGTTGGCTTTTTTATTTTTTTAAAGATTTTATTTATTTATTTGAAAGAGAGAGAGAGAGAGCTAGTGCATGAGCAGAGGGGAGGGACAGAGGGAGAGGGAGAAGCAGACTCCCCACTGAGCAGGGAGCCAAGAGGTGGGGCACCATCCCAGGACCCCAGGATCACAACCTGAGCTGAAGGCAATAGCTTAACCACCTGAGCCACCTAGGCATCCCTTGGCTTTGATTTTTAAAACAGAATCCATTAAAATATATTTTTAAAAATTCCAGTATAGTTAACGTACAGTGTTACATTACTTTCAGGTGTACAATATAGTGATTCAGCAGTTCTCTGTATTATTCAGTGCTCATCATGATAAGTGTACTCTTTAATCCCCTTTATCTATTTCACCCATCCCCTTCTCCCCTCTGGTAACCATCGGTTTTTCTCTATAGTTAAGAGTCTGTTTTTCAGTTTGTCTCTTTTTCTTTGTTTTGTTTCTTAAATTGTACATATGAGTGAAATCATACGATATTTGTCTTTCTCTGACTGACTTATTTCACTTAGCATTATACCCTCTATCTATCCATGTTCCTGCAAATGGCAAGATTTCATTCTTTTTTTATGGCTGATATACCACATCTTCTTTATCCATTCATCTATTGATGGACACTTGGGCAGTTTCTATCTTTTTTTTTTTTTAAAGATTTTATTTATTTATTTGAGACAGAAGGAGAGAGAGAGAGAGTGCACATGAGAGCACATGAGAGGGGGGAGGGTCAGAGGGAGAAGCAGACTCCCCGCTGAGCAAGGAGCCTGATGCGGGACTCGATCCCGGGACTCCAGGATCATGACCTGAGCCGAAGGCAGTTGCTTAACCAACTGAGCCACCCAGGCGCCCAGTTTCTATCTTGATTACTGAATTTTTTGGCAACCTCTTAAACTTTGTATTGGCCTTACCGTGTCCTGGCCTGAGGTTGCGGTACACCATGTAGTGCTTTATGTGTAGCAGGCCAAACATGCTTAGTTTTCTGTTGTCATATAAAGGAAAAATAATTGTATCTTAGGGCTGTGTTACATTGAGGGAGCTGACTACGTGTAACAAATTTTGTATTTTAAATAGAAAATTACAGCGTACGAGCTTTGAATGGATATAATATTCTGTAAAAGTTTAAAATTAACTGTTGACCTTTTTAGAACTATTTAAGTGGATTTATATTTTATCAGAGCTGCCCCATTGTTCCCTTACTCACCTAACGGTAGATGTTTAACAAGCCCTCAGCATAAAGGAGTATAAGAAAAGATAGTATCTGAAAATAATAGAAGAATAATCTCCATTGGTTTGTTTCTTTACCACCTTAGAGTTTATTTGGCATGTGATGAAGGTTTTAAAGTAGAGTGTTAGGTGTTAAAGTAGAGTTTAGAGTGTTGTTGGGGTGCCTGGGTGGCTCAGTTGGTTAAGCAACTGCCTTTGGCTCAGGTCATGATCTCGGGGTCCTGGGATTGAGCCCCACATTGGGCTCCCTGCTTGGCAGGAAGCCTGCTTCTCCCTCTCCCACTCCCCCTGCTTGTGTTCCCTCTCTCACTGTCTCTCTGTCAAATAAATAAATAAAATCTTTAAAAAAAAAAAAAGAGTGTTGTTGAATCACTGTGTTGTATACCTGAAACTAATGTAATAATTGCATGTCAGTTGTACTCAAATTTTAAAAATAAAAAATAGAGTGTTAAAGGTAGGGGTTATGCTGGAATAAAAAAAATTGGTCTGAGAGAATGAGAGTTGATTTGATGAAGTAAGAATTCTATGGAGCTAAAGATAAATTTATTTCAGATTTGCCACTAATTTCTAGTCTCACAGCTTTTCTGTTTTGAGTGTGCACAGGGGGTAGATCTGTTGAACATGCTTTTTCTCTGAAGAGTACAGACTTCAGAATAAGGTAAAACTTAATTTCAATAGTGAACATTGTTCAAACAGTGCAAAAATGGTAGTAAAATATTGAAACGTTTTCTGTACCTCTCTTCTGAACTTTTGCCTTTGTGTGATTTACTCTTTAACAGGAAATCAAACCCCAAAGCCATTATAACCATGGATATGGTGAATCTCTTGGACGGAAAACTCATATTGACGATTACAGCACATGGGACATAGTCAAGGCTACACAGTAAGTTTTTTGTTGTAGTTGTTTTCTTCTTTGACATCTGTATTTCAAATGAAATATGAGCACATGCATTTATTTCTCTTTATTGATAATTCTCTATTTGGTGAGACATTGTTCTCATACTTTAGCTCTTTGTACAGATTTTTTTTTTTTAATATTTTATTTATTTGACAGAGAGAGCACAAGCAGAGGGAGAGAGAGGGAGAAGCAGGTTCCCTGCTGAGCAAGGAGCCCGATGTGGGACTCGAAGGCAGCCACTTAACCGACTGAGCCACCCAGACGTCCCGCTCTTTGTACAGATTTAACATAGCTGATTAAAGTCTTTCTCTAGTCAGTCCAATGTCTGGGATTCCTCAGGGACAGTTTTCTATTAATTGCTACCCCCAATGGGTTATACCTCCTTGTTCCTTTGCATGTCTTGTAATTTTTTTTATTGAAAACCGGACTATTCAAATTCTATGAGGTGATAGTTTTTTTTAAAAAGATTTTATTTATTTGAGAGAGAGCAAGAGAGGGAGAGAGCACTGAGGGAGAAGGAGAGGGGGAAGCAGACTCTCCACTAAGCAGGGAGCCCAATGCAGGGCTTGATCCCAGGACCCTGAGATCATAACTTGAGCTAAAGGCAGACGCTTAACCGACTGAGCCACCCAGGCACCCCTGAGGTGATAGTTTTTATATCAGATTCTCCTGGGGTTTGTTGTTATTTATACCATTTCTAAACTAATTCTGTAAAGTCTGTATTTTTGTCATGGTGTGGCCACTGAAGCCTCTGCTCAGGTAGTGGTCAGTAAATGACTGGAGAGAAACTTCTTAAATCTCTAGAACCAGTAAGCCTGATCTTTGTTGAGGAACTGTGTGTGTGTGTGTGTGTGAGTGTGTACGTGTGTGTGTGTGTGTACCAGTAAGCCTGATCTTTGTTGAGGAACTCTGTGTGTGTGTGTGTGTGTGTGTGTGTGTGTGTACACACTTAGCACTCTGCCAGGCAGCTTACTAGAGCCTTAGCCTTCGCTTTTTGCTTGCCCAGAACCTCAAGGTCAATTAGACCTGAGAGCTTCGGGCCTTCCTTGGTCTTTGTTGAACATGTGCACACAACCTTAAGCTTGTGTATGGCTTTCTAGATTCCCAGGGATATGTCTGAGCTTTTCAAAGCCCCTATGGATATCTTATTCCTCAGCCTTTGCTTTTAAGCTTTTTGATTTGTCTGTTATTGGACCCAACTGTCACCCATCCTCTTAAGCAGCTGTGATGTTAAAACATTTGACAAACAACCCCCAAGGTGAAGCTTTTAATGAGTTTAAGTGAGGTTCAATAGATGAGCCTTTCGAGTGGACTCTTCCCTGTCTGGGAACCACCAGACAGGTCAAATAATGACTTCTCTTTTGGAATGAGGCTTTGAGAGAACTCTGGTTACTAGTTACTAGTGTAACCAAACCAATATGAGTTCACTTCTTGGTGAGTCACAGATACACCAGGTGGAGTTGTTGCACAAGTAAATGTTATTTGCAGCAAGTGAGGAGATCATGGGGAGTAACTTGCAAAGCTGTGATTCCCTGAGCAAGTGTGGTTGGGTTCTTTTTATGTAGGGTTATGATGAATGAATATTTTAAAAGGGATTCTTGTCATTGCATGTAGAGGTGGGTATAAAGTTGCACACTTGCCTTAAGGAAAAGGAAACATGCCTGTGCATATATTGTATGTTATGTAAATGAGGCTTGTGCTCCTCTTTGGGCAGAGATTTTAGTATTATAATGAATACAGGTAGTTGTCAGTCATTCTAGAGGTTACTCCATAGTCCATTCATGCAGTTCAGGGGTTAGAATCGAACTGGTCTGGGTGGTGTGGGCCAGCTGGAGGTCTTGTCAGGGCAGTCGCTATCACTTGAGGGGTGGTTTCGGTTCCCATTTGCCTGAGTTGAGATAGCTGGAAAGAAGAGCTTAAGGAAAAATGTGGGACAAAGGTCAATGAGTTCAAGCAGGTGGGCAATAAGAGGTCAGGTCTTGGGGTCTAGCTGGTGACGCTAGTACCAGGAATACAAACATTTTTTCAAGCAGAGAGGCTGGTACTATGATATGTTAAAGTACCACAAAGTTCTCTGCTCTTACTGAAATTCAGCTGTTTTTTTTTGACTGAATGCTCCTTGGTTTGCTGGATGCCTTTTGTTATTTCCCCGAGTTCTGAAAAAGTTGATTTTGACACTTTCTGACAGTTTTTTCATTACTTTTGTGGAAGGACAAACTTTTGGAGGTCCTTACTTCACTGGTGGCACTCTTACTTTCTTGAATGTTATGTGTAGTCGAAAATCAGAGCACATTGTGCCACCTGTATTTAGCAAACAAATTACACTGCATTACATTCATCTTTCCTTTTGAGACTGCTCCTTTTGATATCTCCTTTCACTCATTTGGGATTAATCTGTCTCACCCAAATGCATCATTTCCATCAGCAAATAGACTCCAGTATCTTTGATCTGAAGAAAAAAATAACCACCTTTCTTTATACTTCACATACTCTTTTATTTCTTGAAAAGTATGCTGTCTGTAATTTCTACCTTTAAAAACACTTTTTTGAATTATGAAACATTTCAATTCTACAGTAAAGTATAGAGAAGAATATAACTGTCAGATTAAGCAGATGCTACTAACATTTTGCTGTAATTGCTACACGTTGCTCAGTGTGCGCTCTCCATTCTCCCTAAGGAAACCTCTCTTGAAACTGCTGTGAATCATTCTCATGAACATTCCTATACATTTATTTCTACAAACATCTACAAACAAAATATGTCATTGTAATATGTGCCTAAAATTTATATAAATTGTATTCTCTGTATATCACTTTACAGCTTGTTTTTTTTTTAAATAAAAAAACCGTATAGCTTTTGTGATTTATCAGTGTTGACAGATAAGGACCTAGTTTATTGTTTAACTGCTTTGTATTATTCTATCATTCCTTACTGAGGGACACTTAAAATTGTTTCTATAGTACTTTTTTATTACAAACTTTGCATCAATGAATGTCCTTTTTCCTGTTTTCTTATGTACATAAACAAGAGTTCTTCCTAAGTGGAATTTCTGGCTTCTTCAGTATGTTCTTTCAACTTTACCAGCTATTGCCAAATTGATTTCCAAAATGGCTGTACCAATTTGTACTTGCACCTGCAGGAAACGAGTTCTTCTTTGACTACTTCTTGCTAACTCCTAGTTTTGTCACACTAATAATTGTCAGTTTAGTGGTTGTGAAATGGTTTTCTGTTTTGATTGGCCTTTCTCTGATTACAAATGGTGTTGAATATATTTCCTATGTTTATTGGCCATTTGGGTTTCTTCCTGAGCAAACATTTGGGTTCTTTTGTCTTTCTGTAATTGATTTGTAAAAGTTCTTTATGTATTTTGATGGAGTTCACAAAGAAGTTAGTGGGATTTGTGTCCCCTTAGTGTTCTCCAGAATCCTGTCTTGCTGCTCTCCTAGCCCCTTCTCACCCCCCGCCCTCCAGTCATGTAGCTCACCATTCGGTACTCCTATTCAGTTTGTCAAAACTTGTATTTCTTTTCTGCAATAATGTGGTGGAACATCTCCTCTGGAAACCTGGACTTCCATTATGGTTCTCTCATCTGTAGGTGGCTTTCTAAGACAGTGTTGTACAGGGTTCCCAGACCACTGTCCAGAAGGACTGGAGCCAGTTCATGGGCCACTGCAGGATCCATGGCTGGGCTGAAGTCTGTATGCCTATTACCCAACACGTGGGTGGCTGAGACTTCTCAGCTCCCTTTGAGTGTGGTACTGGATCCTACAACTCCCACAGAGGCACTTTTGTCCATGATTAGATGCCAAATTACTGTTGTTGGAAGGGAAACAAAACGATGGATGTCTTATTCTACTCTGATGCTGACGTCACTCTGGTCCATTTCTAAATACTCTTTTTCATTTGTTTCATCTTGTATAGTACCACATTGTTTTAATCGTTTCTTAGTCTTCACAGTTGTCTTAGCTATTTTTGGCTTTTTACTCTCACAAACGAATTTTAGGTTCTACTTGAGAAGTTCGTAAGGTACTCATTTGTGATTTTAATTAGAATTTCATTCAATTTGCAGATCAATTTGGGGGAAATTGGTATATATATTTCTTTAGGTCTTTAATATCTTTCATAAATCTTATTTATAGTGGGAGTAGTGTAATTAAATATGCTTTTCATTATTATTTTAGATGGTTTAACATTTCATATTATAATGATATAGAATCTGATCCTAAATTTTTTTTACTTGGTTACTTTGTTTTAATGATTTTCTTTTGCTGGAGAAAAGATAACCTCACAAAAATACATAATTACCTGATGGGAGAATTACAGCATATGCTGCGTTTACTAAGTCATAGTAATTACTTTTTCAGCATTACTCACTAGGCAAATATTTTACTGAACTTTACCTTGTAAATATCCATTTTTTAATGCCAATTCTTGCAAACTATTCAGGTTTTGGTGTTTTTATAATTATAACAAATGGGTTTGCAGGTGTTAACAAGATTGTTTCAAAATATTTTAGTGCATTCACATGAGGTTTTTATAGGTGATATATTTAGATCTTTCAGAAACTATATTACATAATGATGTAAACATTGCCCAGCATACAGTTTTTAAAAAATACTCTCTGTATAGCAATTTTTTTTCTGAAGTAAAAGTAGTTACTTTCTCAGTGTGTCTAAAATACCCCTTTGCCTTGAAGGGGAACAGACTGTCTTTACCCATTTTAAGAATATATGGTTGATAGTATACTGTGTATTCATTTGCCATCACTACCACTCCCAGCCCTCGCCCCCCCAGAAAGCAGTAAATTTGATATACTTTTCTCTTTCGTTAAAGGGAAAATGCAGTTTTCTTTGTGTGGTTGAAAAGATTTTTGGCTGGCTTAGAGGATTGTGCAACTCTTAATCTCGAGGTTGTGAGTTCAAGCCCCATGTTGGGTATAGAGATTACATATATACATACATTAAGTTTTAAAAAATGATTTTTGTGGTCACTTGTCACTTATCTCATTTAAAGTATGAGGTAGATTCTGCTCTTTAAGGTAATATGTCTAGTTCACTTAACTAGGCACATGTAGGCAGTTTTCTGAAAAAGAACAAATAACTTAAGGTACCACTGTCATCTCCTGTGATTGTGGAACTCTTGCTCTTCCCGTGGGTTGATTACCTTGTGCATGTGTGTGTGCATGTGTACACACACAGTACAGAGCCAGTGAGGGCAGCAGTGTGAAGGATGTGTTAAGTGTAAGTGAAGCTTAATTTATTAACTACACCATGAATATAGGTAGATGTTCTAATATTTGCTTCTACTGTCCCATTATGTCCCCCAGCCCCACCCTTTGGTGTGCCTTCCCCATTTTGGAGACTACTCTGAGAAACTACAAATATAGTCAAAGCTCATTTAAATTTGTTTTTGTGTCTCATATTTCCAAGGACCATATATTTTGTTTAGAATAAAGTCGATGGTTCTTGAGGCTCCGTGACGGATTCTTGGTGGTTTATTGTACTGCTCTCTCCATTTTTGCTTATGCTTGAAATTTTCCATAGTAAAAAGCTTAAAAACTTTATGTTGCCACACAGTGATCAAAAGCTGAAAGGGAGGAAAGGATCAGGCTCTCCACAAGTGCCTTTCTTCTTTATCAAATAAAATCACCTTTCCTAGAACTCTCCCAGTATGCTTTCTCTTCTGCCTCATTGGCTTGAACTCACAGGACTCTTCCCCTACCCACCGTGCTTCCCGTCCCCACACATCCTTTTTCATTTGCCCTCAGGAATATCAAAGCTAAATTTGTAAACAAAGAATCCTGAAGCTTGGAAAGCATCCTTTCTTCTTTTCATTTTTAAAATCATCGATAAGCTCTTTGTTACTGTCTCTTAGTGTGTGTGTGTGTGTGTGATTTAATATTTTTTAACATAATTTTGTTATTTTTATAAGCAGCCTTAAGTGTTTTGTAGAATAAGTGGTGATATTAGTAAAAACAAGCAATCGGTAGACATTTTATTTCTGGTATCTTTTTCTCTTCCAACTGATGAGATATTGCATTCTTATAGATGAGACCTTTAATAAAACTAAAAATTTTACTAACTGGATTAGTAAAAGCTGTTGGAATATTGATTTTTTTTTTTAAAGATTTTATTTATTTACTTGAGATAGAGTGAGTGAGAGAGATAGCACGAGTGGGAGAGCAGAGGGAGAGGGAGAAGCAGGCTCCCCACTGAGCGGGGAGCCCGATGCGGGGCCTGATCCCAGGACTCTGGGATCATGACCTGAGCCGAAGGCAGATGCTTAACGACTGAGGCACCCAGGTGCCCTGGAATATTGATATTTTTAAAGTAACATTTTACCTTAAGAAGTCCATTTCAGTTTCCAGGTATCTGGATGCCTGGGTGGCTCAGTCAAGCACCTGCCTTTGGCTCAGGTCATGCTCCCAGGGTCCTGGGATCGAGTCCCGCATCGGGCTCCTTGCTCAGCGGGGAGCCTTCTCCTCCCTCTGCCTGCAGCTGCCCCTGCTTGTGCTCTCTCTCTCCCTCTTTGACAAATAAATAAAAATCTTTAAAAAAATAATTTCCAGGTATCAAAATGGAGCATTATTTTTTTCTGGAAATGTTACTTTCAGCTTTAAATTTTTGTCAAATAGTAGTAACAATCTCATATTTTCTTTCTTTCCCAGATATGGAATATATGAACGCTGCCGAGAATTGGTGGAAGCAGGTTATGACGTACGGCAACCAGACAAAGAAAATGTTACACTCCTCCATTGGGCTGCCATCAATAACAGAATAGATTTAGTCAAGTATGTGTTTTCTGTATTTTAAAGTAATTATTTATTATAAAATTATTACAAATAATTATAAAAGTTAATACTTTCTAAAATTCATTGCTTTTAAAATGTAATTTCTGTGTACCTTTTTTCCTGAAAATTGTTTTTAACATATATTGAATACGCATTTATACAAGGTATTGTGCTGAGTGCTTTTTCATGTATCTTTCCTTTAATTTTAATTCTTGAAATAATAATTGCTGTCCTCCTGATGTGGAAACTGAAGCATAAATAGGTTAAATATGTTACCAATGACATGCAGCTAATAAAAGTTGGAATCAGGATTTCAGCAGTGTAATTTGCAGCTCACATTCAAAATGTGAATTCTGTGGGGAAAAAGCTACAAAAGAAAAGAGGGGTTACAAAAATAATAGGTAATAATAATCTGTTTTAAGTATTCTTGCCAGCATAAGTGATGAATACATATTAAGTGTAAATGATTTCTGTTACTTGCTGCTAATCTGCTTGCCTGGTATTAATAAGAGGTAGTTAGATAAGCAAGAGTCAGGGTAATAGGAAGTCTTAGTAAATCTAGTTTAGTAGTCTCTGACAATTTGGACATAAGTTCTTCAGATGAAGACATGAATCTGAAATAAACTAGCTGCAGATGTGCACTTAAGTACAGCATACAGAGTCTAGAGACAAGTAGGGTATTAAGGCTAGGGAAAAGAAATCGCCCTTTTGAATACTAAAGGAAGGTTAAGCAGGTAATCACTTTCTTCCAGAGAGCATATCTCCATTTTATTTGTTCCTTTTTTATTCTTGTGTGTCTGACCTTCCCTCTGCCTTCGATAATGAGTCTCCTGATGTCTAATTCTGTTTTTGTTTGTCGGAAAATGTTTTTATTTCATCTTCATTTGTGAAAGAAATTTTCACATGGTATAGAAATCTAGGTTGGCAGTTTTTGTTTGTTTTATTTTTGTGTTTTACTTATTGAAAATAACATTCCTCTGTTTTCTGGCTTCTGTTACTATTGAGAAATCAGTCTAAATATTGTACTTTTGAAGGCTTTTTTTTTTCCTGTCTGCTTTTAAGATTTTTCTCTGTTTCTGGTTTTCTGCAGTTTCATGATGATGTAACTAGGTGTGGATTTCTTTTTATTTACCCTGAATGAGATTGCAAGGAATTCTTGATTCTTTGGATTGATGTTTTCATCAGTTCTGGGAAAAATCTCAACTATTATTTCTTCAACTATTGCTTCTACCCCATTCTTTTTTTTGCTCTCCTTCTGGAACTACAGTTAAACGTCTGACCTTTTCATTGTATACTCTGTGTCTCTTCTCTTTTGTATGTGCTGTCCTTTGGTGTGCTTCATTCTGGAAACTTCTGACTTACCTTCCAGTTCATTTATTCTTTCTATGTATAATCTGCTGTTAAATCTATTCAGTGTGTTCCTAATTTTATTTTCCAGTTCTAGAATTTTTGTCATTTATTGTTTTCAAACCTGTATTACTTAAATCATCTGTGGCTGAAATTTTCAATCTTGTCTTGTATACTTGAATGTAGTAAATATAGTTACTTTATAATTGTACCTGAGAAGATAATCTGTATCTGTTAATGTTGTTCCTTCCTGTGCCTGATTATCTTTAAATATGTACTGGACGGTGTGTTTGAAAATTATTTGTTGAATAATTTGAGGCCTAAGATGAGATTTCCTTTTGTTTCTGCTAGGCCCACCTTTAATTTAATTTCAAGGCTTTAGATTTTCTGGATTCCTCAGGTGGCTGAAGACCAGGCTAGAGCCAGGTTTACTTCTGGTTCATAATTACTGCTACAGTGTAACCTTTTGGGGTCCCAACCTTTGTTTTGCTTTTGCCTCTTTAGCTTGCTTCTTGGCCAACTCTTCTATGTCAGCAAATTATCTCTAGGGCAGATGGTGCCCAAGCAGTTTTCTAACTTCTCCAGATTTTAACCCTCTCCTGAATCTTGGCCTGGTTAATGCTCTTAATCTTCTTAGGTTTTACTTTTTAGGAAATGTTCCTCAGATTTCATTGAACTTTTTTAGTTTTCTTTAATGGAAGAGTTGATTCAAATGATCTAAACTCTCAACCTCTGTTTTTCAGTTAGTGTTATTTTAATCAAAATAGTGTATAAACACTTTGAAAACTCAAATAGTACTTAAAGGCTTACAATGGAAAATGGCAGTCCCTCCCCACCCTCTCTGTCCTGTAGCCCAGAAATAACTATTTTTAGCCCTTGAACTGTTTCTTTCAGTATTTACTCTTTTATTTTATATATTTATGTTGCTACATTTATCTAGAAAAAAATGACAGCAAAACATTTTTTCTCCTTTTTCATTTTAAATATATACCTTCAAGATTTCTCATTATCAGTACAAATAAGAGCTGTATCATTCTTTTTAAACAGCTATATAATGTTCAGTTATATGGGTTTAATTTATTTAATGGTTTTCCTGTTGATGGACATTTAGATTGATTTTGGTGTTTTTACCATTAACAACCACTGGTGTAATTGTTATCTTGGTCACATATCATTTTGCTATGTTCATATATATCTGTAAAATTTATAGGAGTAAAAAAGTAAGAAAGATGAATTTTGAATTTTAATAAATATTGCCAATGTTTATGCTGTTATTTCTTGATTTATCACTTATTATATTTTGACTATTTTTGGGATTTCTAGGTGTCCTAGATCTCCTCACCACTAATAATTCTTCCATCCTCTACTATAGTTTTAGTTAAATCACCATGCAAAGTTTAAGTTGTTGTATATAAATTCTCAGTGCTAAGTCCAGAAGTGTTCTATGATTATCTATTCTTTCCTTGTGGAATTTTGATTTTTGCCTGAAGTAACAGTTATTTCATTTTTAAAACTTTCTCTATGTTGTAACTAATTCTTCCCATACTCTTAGAAGTGTAAAATCCCTCTGTATAGCAAACAGTATTAGCTAATTGATCCATTCTGTTTTTGGAGGTGGGGGATAGAGGAAATCATTTCTGAATTCTCCACTTTTCTGCTCCGACCCAGATTGTTTGCTCTTTAGAGCTACTAAGCAGCCATTATCGTGAGACTTTCCTTTGCCATTATTCTGGGAAATCCCTTTGCTCCAGTGTTGGTCTCAGTTTCCTGGATCTCAGGTTTTTGTCTCTTTTGGGTTGCTACCTGGTTTTAGTAGAGCACAATTTCTGATAGCTTTCTGAGAGAGAGAGAGCACTTGGGAGGTAAATGTTTTGAAGTTACTATCATTTCTGCCCTTACACCTTATTGGTGACTTAGCTGAGCATGGACTTACAGATTAAAAGTAGTTTTCTCAGAATTTTGAAGCATTACCTTATTATTTTTTTAATTTGTATATTACTATTGAGATTCTGTTGGTTAAAAAATTTCCATTTGTCTTGTGTTTAAAAAATAAACAAGAAAGTCTGAAGTGAGAAATACAGACGAAAAGACTTGATGCTGCCTGCCTTACAAATGTTCCAAGCTACTTGTGAACTAGTGGGGTTATAGAATAAAGTCAGTAATTGTAGAGTGGGTTAATAATCGGTGCCTGTACATATTATATCTTCAGGTAGGTAAACTTAATTTTTCACAATGCATAATCTAGCAAGTTATTTTCCTAAAACAAACATGGTGAGTAAAGGCAGTTTCCAATAACAACTGGTATTCATAGCCTCAGGGTTACTTTTTCTGCTGACTCTGGAATTACACCCCTACTTAAAAGTTACAGCATATCCATAGCACAGCAAATAGTATGAACATCATATTTGCATAGGACCCTCATACTCCTAGGTCCTATGGGAGTGGCTTGAGTTTATCCAGATGGATATAGCACATGTAGTGGGTTTGTATTGCATCTTGGGGAATTCAGTGCTTTTATAATAAGAGCAAGTTTGCTCTTTGTTCCAGAGGGAGGCATTACCTCATCTCTCAAGGTTGTTTGATACAAACACAACTCGGAGAATGACCTGTGTAAAAGTGGTCAGGGCCTTGCATTCTATTCATATACCTAGCAAGACATATGGGAACGTGAGAGATCCAGGGAGAAGTGTCTCTTCTAACAGTTATGTTCCATCAGGGTTTATTAAAGGGACTTACTGCAAACAAAGTAGTTGCGTCACTTTCATGATGATGAGGTATAAAGTAAGTATAATATGGAAAGGAGGAGACCTTCGCCTTAGCCTGGATTGTTTTTTTCAATTTTCAAGCATTTTTTTCTCTTGATTTCTGCACCCCCCCTTTTAAGAAAAAATATTTTGTTCTTCGTATCATGAGTATATTATCTTCTCTTACTTTTTGGAGGATATTAATTGTAATTTTTGTTTTGTTTCTTTTTTCTTCTCTATTATCTGTTTATGTTAGGCTTCTCTTTATTTGGTCTCCTTCCATATTTGAAACTTTCCTCAATTATTTGGTCATATTTAGGAGAGACATAACAAAGCTGATTGGAAGTTGTGGAACTTAGATCATAACAGGAACCTCCCAAATGTCTGTTTCTAGAAATTTTTTTCTGGGGTTGTTCAGTGTCTCTTAGAGAAAAATCTTTTGATCTCTTTGTGGGAAGGAGTTCAGTTATGTCTGCCAGCTGACCTGAACAAGGAGAGGAGCCGGGGGTTGTAGTTGTTGTTTGGAGTGTTAACTTTCATTGAATTGCTATTTTCAGTATAGTGTCTCATATGGTTCTCTGATTTAATTCCATGAGTCTCAAATTTCTCTGGTAAAGGTACACTGAATACACTTTTCAGCAAATGCCGAATGGTTGAGTGTTGAAATCAGTGTGAGCCTGAGGTTGGAGCCAGAAATCATCATCATACAATGAAGCTTAGGGCCATAAGAATGAATTTGAAGAGTTTGAGTTATTATTACAATAGTATTAAAATTTTGAGTAGTCACATTTTAAGATTGAACATTACAGTACACAAAGAAATACTTGTCTAGCACCGTCAGCTGCTTGTTTCAGTGTCACTAAAATGCCTGTTTGTGATGCTAAATACTGAACTTTCAGTGAGAACATAAGTTACAAAACAATAGTTTTTTCAGCAATTTTTATTAACTTTGAACCAGTGTTTCTGTTTATACTCTAGTATTTTCATTGCATTCTACAGAGGTAACAATTACCTTTAATCCCTTAGTCTTTCTAGGGTTTTATGACATATCCTGGTTTGCTTCTCATTGGTGTCCCCCTCTGGAGACATTGAGTTTTAACTATTTACTTTTCATCTTTCAGATACTTGTTGATATCTCTTGTTCATTGATGACCTGGTCTCAAAACCTAGGGATCATTAACTGGTACCTACAGGAACATTCCTTGATAACCTTGTAGTATGCAGGGAGGCTTGAGTTTAAAAATAAGAATTACATGATCATTTCAGAATTGTGTAGTTTTGAGCTAGGGTCTTACAGCTATAAAGAATAACATGTTATAAAAAGTTGGTGCTTCCCTGCCAGTAGTTTACAATGAAAAGGTGATAGAAGTTGTTCTTTAGTTTGCAGAAAAAAAAATTCTCCTATCCCTGTGGGGGTAAAAAAAAAAAGTTGTACTTTAGAACCAGTCTGGAAATCATTCATTGCTGTAGCCCTAGCCAAGATTTGAAATGTGAGTAAAAATAACTCAGGAACAAATATATTGACTATAGAGAAGGTAATAAAATTGCCTTAAAAAAACATCGCAGCTCTTATCAAAGTTGTTCTTTGGCTGAGCTATACTTATCTTTGGGCTCAAAAAACCATTTTCAACTATTATATAATGTCTACCAAGTTCCTTAAGAAAGAATTTAGGAATAGTTAAATGTTTGTGTTCAGACTAATGTCTTTGATATTTTGGACTGGAAATATTTTAGTCTGGAAATATTTTGTTACGTTACTTTAAACTATTTTACATGATAGAGTGGAGTTTGGCCCTTTATTACATAATGCTTTAAAAACACCAATTTAACAGATACATAAAGCAATAAATTTCTGAATCAAGCATGTAAGTATGAATATATTAAATGTTTAAAACTGTGTACATTAGAAGTAAATGCATTAGTGTTCTGAAGCGGTAATCACTTAGAACAGTTTAAGAATCTCAGTAAATCTCAGCATTTGACATCAAAGGCTTGAAATCATTTGTATTCAAGGTTCATTCATTGATCAATCCAAAGTAAACAGTATGATAAGCAGCTAGGTCCTGTTCATTTCAGAGGATATCAAGACGTTATAATGTTAATATATTAAGCAATGAGGTGGTTCTTTCTTTTTAAAGCAACACAGCTTTAAAAGTATAACAAGGCATTGTAAAGAACCTCTGTGTTATACTTAAAATTTATAAAATTCTTGTACGTATATTGTTTGCTTTAATCTACAGTAATTTTGTGAGGAAAGTAAAGCTCATAAAGCTGAGCTCCCTATGGTAGACTAAGTGGCCTATTCTCCAACTTTCTATCTGCTGCTGTGCTCTGATCCAAGTCTTTGTGGTTCTCTGACTGCCTTCTTTTTTATATGACTGTTATTGGCATTACTATTCTTTTTTGTAACTTTAAAAATTACTTTCCTTTTACTTCTAGAACAAAAGAGTAATGTGTTTGATATAAAATTCTACTAAATATATTTTTTAAATATCACAAAAGATTATCATCAAAGGCATAAACTAGCATGAGGTCTACAATGAAAAACATTTTTTTCTTTATTTTTTACATAATTTCTTAAAATTGAAAATGAAAGTTGTCTAAATTATTTAAAATTTTGTCTTATAGATACTATATTTCGAAAGGTGCTATTGTGGATCAACTTGGAGGAGACCTAAATTCCACTCCATTGCACTGGGCCACAAGGTTTAAATTTGCTTCTGGATTTTTTTTCTTTTGGTTCCTTTATTAGTCTATAACTAAACAACTTTTCCTTTTTTAATGATATGCTAAAATGAATGCGAAAACTTATGCTAATAGTTAATATCAACAGTATACTAATACATTGCTATACAGTGTGACCTGCATTGGTAGCAAAGTTTATTGTCCCCAAGTGTCTTTAGGGAATTCACCATGCTGATATTAATCCAGTTAGTTTACGATTGAGTTAAACTTTGGATTTGTAAATGTAATACTTACACAGCCTCTGTGTATTTACAATTAAAGAAGTTGCCCAGTTCATGGGACAATTAAGATTATATTTGAATAGGATTAATAGAATATAGGAACTATTTGTTACATATTTAAAGAAGTTATAAGTATCTTTATAAAATTTAAAAGACTCTTATTTCAGTTGAGACTTAAGAACCATAAAATCCTAAGCATGTCTTGACATAAACATATTTTAAGAAATAAAAAAAAATTGTGTAATCTTTTCCACCATTGCCCTATTTAAGAAAGATCTTTCCAGGAGATCCTGTTTGAAATAACATTATATATTTAAGTGTTTATTCTTTTATGTTTTAGACAAGGTCATCTATCTATGGTTGTGCAACTAATGAAATATGGTGCAGATCCTTCATTAATTGATGGAGAAGGATGTAGCTGTATTCATCTGGCTGCTCAGTTTGGACATACCTCAATTGTTGCTTATCTCATAGCAAAAGGACAGGTAAAAAAATCACAATGGTGTGGATTTTAATCAGATGTTCTTCATGGTTTAAATGCCTATTATCATTGGTGTTACAAGTGTAACAACCTGATGATATTTAAATAGTACTTTCTGATGGATGAAGAGAAAAAATAATATAGTTAGTTTGATATTGAGATAATATAGTTAAGTTAAAAATAAGATACTCAAAAACCAGATAATGATCCATTAAGTTGCATCTTTTATTTCTGAGAATGATAGAGATGAATCCCAGAAAGTAAGAAAATTTAGGTATCCTATTTTCCCCTTACTTATATCTTTTGAATATAATCTGAATTCATTTAAACTTTTTTGAACATTTTGCTGCTTATTTTCTCTATTAAGTTACTTCTCAGAGTGGGGGATAAATTCTTTAGGATCAGTTTCTCATTTTCTGCTGCATAAAATAATGCTGCTTCTTACATGTCAGAAAACTTCTCATGATTTAAGTGCTTCTTCCTGATTTTTCATGAATGTGTACTGACTATAATCACATTAAACAGGTACCTATATTTTTGTGATAAATGTATTTTGTTGAAATTAATGTCACTCAGTTTTTCTTTCATGTGTTTTCTCTGGTTATATTTAAACATTAGCTTTATAGCTAAGGATCTCATCATAAGAGTAAGATAAATGATTTTAATTCATTGCTGTTAACATATTTATTTTAAAGTTTATGCAGATTTGGAATTTGAGTAGTATTTATTTTATGAATACTTTGTTGTTGGCAGTGCTACACAATGACAGTTGTGTGTTGTGCATTATAGTGTAAGAGGCATAGACTGGCTAATTGCTGGAAGAGGGGGGTTATTATCTATTATGGTGTTTACAGACTCCCCCCAAAATCTAATGGCTTTAGAACAGTATGAACCATTTATTGCCTTAGGTTGACTGGGCTTGGCTGGGTGGTTCTTTACCTTGTGGTAATGGCTGGGGGTTACAGTTATCTGGGGGCTTGACTGGAATGGAGGATGGGTCACTCATACCTTATGCCTTAATAGGAATGTAAAAGGCTGGGTTCAGTTGGAGTGCTGAGATAGCAAGTCCTGTCTTTTACTCCATGTAGTCTTAGAATTCCTTCTCCATGGTACCCCTGCACATAGTCTTTCTAGGAGGGAAGTAGACTTCTTCCGTGGTGGGAGCTCCCAAAGGAACAAAAGCAGAAGCAGTCTGCCTTTTTTAAGTCTTATGTCTTGAACTGGCACAGCAACATTTCTGTTCCATTCTGTCAGTTAAGGCAAGTAACAGGGCCAGTTCACGTTCATTGTGGGAACAGATGGGTAGAGCAGTGCGTGAGGTTTATTTGGGGGGCCATGTTTGGATACTAGCTGCCACAGGAGATTACTTTCGTTCTCCCAAGTTTCTTTTAGACTGGGGTTTGGAGCAGTGGATGGTGCTGTAACACATGATAGTGTCGTTAGTGGCCTTTTGTTTTGCAGGTATAAATTTACAATACGCGTTCACTGTTTCTTTTGTTTTTTTAACTGGGTAAGAGAAGTGGTGTAAGTTTTTTGTCTTTTTGTTAGCTTATTGATTTTGGGGTTTGGATGTTTCAGTAATCTTTTTAACTCTGGTATAGGATGTTGGCTATAAAATTCTTATGAGACAGGGATTTCTACCTGTCACAGTACCTTTTGTATAATAAATGCACAATGATAATAAATGTCTGGCAAATTGTTTTCTTTTTCATGAGTAAGTTTGTTTTTGTTTTTATTTTTTTTTTTACTACAAAACTAACATGCTTATTGAAAATAGTTGAACGTAAGAGAAGAATATGACTTAGAAAATGAAACTCCACCTCTTCCCTTACCCCTCCCCCCCAGAGATCACTTTCTTTAACAGTTTAGTATATTATTTTCCCAGAATTTTTTCCATGTATACACTAATTATAAAAGAAAACTCCTCTAGTGTTCATCACATCATACTTTCAGTGGAGTCCAAAGTCGTTCCCTACAGAAGCACTACAGAACCATGTGTAGTATAGTCTGAGATAACTCACAGGCCCATCTTTTGTCATCTCCCTTACTCTGCTTTGACACACCAGTCTTCCTGCTGTTCCTTGAACAGCCGTGCTGTTGTCTTTGGGCCTTTGTGCTTGATCTTATCTTCTGCTTGGTAAATCCTTTCCTTAGTCACACAGTTCTCTTTCTGTCTTACTTCAATCAGATGTTTGCTCAAATCTTACTAGTTTTGATTAGTTCCCAATTATAAGTAATAATAGAATTAGTATATTTTTATTTTTTCTTTCTCTTCCCTGTCTTTCACTGACTTTAGTCTATAATATTGTTTTTTTTAGTGTTAACTTTGTTCTGATAGATATAACTACATTTCTATTACTTGATTTTTCAGCTTTAAGTAATATTCTTTGACTCATAGCTATTACAGATTAGGTACTTATACTTTCTTTTCAACCTTTTTCCATTTTCTCCATTTTTTGTTAATTGTATCGGTTTTACATTCTTAGGGCATATAACATTTCCATTTAGTTTGTCATTCTGTTCTTCACATTTGTTTCATTTTAGTTATACTGTTAAAATATATTTAGTTCTCACTACCAATTCTTTTGGATGATTTTCAGGAGAAAAGGGAAAATGCTAAGTTATGGAGCCCTGTTGATCATGGAATCCCCATAAGCTTTTGATCTGGGCTTGTTAATTCTTCCTAATAGAGAATACCCATACGTCCAGGCTGAACTTGGAAAAGAAGTACCAAGTTTTAAACCCCGACCCAAAGAAAGAAAAGGTTGAATTTCATTTTTCTTTTAGTACTCTAGAGATGTGGCATTATTTTACATTTTTGATTTTACTTATTGATATTTTTTAATACCATCACTTTTTAAAAAAGATATGAAAAAACAACTAAGAAGGAAGAAGAAACTAAAACAAGAATTTACGTGTTTAATTGGACATCAAATTTAGTTGGGTTCTCTTGAAATTAGGACCCTGAAGGAAGTAAAATAGTTAGTACTTGACTCATATAAAGAACTAGGAAGCTTCTCATTTCTGAAATTTTCGTAAAGATTTTTATTGAAAAAAAAATCAGTGTGTATATTGGAAATACTGAGTGAGGTTACATAAGATGTTCCCAACCACAGTTAACGTAAATCTGTAAATGGATTTATAATGGATAAGGTGTAACTTTTGACTACAGTATTCATGATGAGGGACTAAATCTAATGATGTCCAAGGATGTGTGTTCTAGTTTGTCTAATGTACTGGTTCTCAGCATTTTTTCTGCTTCAGTACACTTGGCTAGTTCACATTTGAGACATATTCCCATCGGTAATAGTGGCTCACATAGAACTGCTGTATAGAAGTATAGAGTGTTTTGCAGTGTACTCACTATAACTCTGTCCTCTCTGCACTGACTGGTGTATTAGATAGATAACACAACTTGGATTAGAACTGCTGCCTTTATATAATCCAGGAATGGGTGATAGGGAAGGGAAGAAGAGGAAACTTATTATCTATTGAATGTCTGTTATGTTCTAGGCTGTGGAATAGGTGCTTTACACACATTATTCCATTTGATCATCACAGGGATCTAATGAAGCCATTATTTATATTTGCATTTTTAGATGAGGAAGCCGAAGCATAGAGAATTAATTTTGCCAGTCTTATAGCTGTTAAGTGGCACAGCTAAGAATTCAAAACCGTGTCTGTCTTATTCTAAAGCCTATGCCTTTCCCAAACGAGTAGGTAGATAAACATGTCATTTCACTTAGCAAATGGTTTTTGATCATTTACTCTGCTGGGGACTGAGAATACAAAGATGAATTTAATATAAGTTCAATTGTCAAAGAACTCCTGTTCTAGTTAATGAGATAGATGTCTCAGGCATATAGGATAATTAGTCCAGATTGGAGTTAGGAGAGATAATTTTAGGAAAGTGAAACTGATAGAATCCCTGATGCATCAGGATGTCTTGAAAGGAGATTTAGATAACTAGGGAAGAGTTTTGGTTGACTAGATGGTAGCTTTAATTATAATGGGTTAAAAAAACTAAGGAAGAGTGGGGGAGGTGCCATAGGAAAGCAAAAAGTTGGCTAGGAGAAGAAAAATAATCATGGTTTACTACACTATTTTGCTGGGAATAGTTTTCATATACATTTATAATAATATAAATATCAAACATTTATAGAACCAAAAATACAATAGATCTCTTGGAATAACAGGGAGGTGCATATTTGTGATGGGTCAGGAAGAGTAAAGAGAGAAATTCTTATTTTGCATACTGAAGAGTCTCAGAAGATAATGCCTAAAACTGAAAAATCAGAAAGTAGTAATTCAAGCATCTTATTTTAAGATGTGGAGGGCTAAAAGAGGTGAAAATAGCGGGGAGTAAGGCAGAGAATTGCTTTATCACCACAAATTTTACAGAATTATTTGTCTGTAAAAACGTACATGCATAACAATAAAAAGCAAACAGACTTTTTTGAGTTTATTGAAAAGATAGGTCTTTTTATTCTTTGTTTTGAAATGCCTAGAAATAAACAGGGTTTCATTATTCCCTCTTATCATGAATTAGTATAAATCAGTTTTTCACAGACTTAAATCATTTAACTTATGCTCTGTGGATGAAAGATGAAGAGTAGGTCAAGATCTTTAAATGCAAAACATTGAAAGGGTGATTAAAGCATCTGAAAAAGGAAATCTATAAATGTATGCTAATTAAGTACATATTTAATGTATAGTCAATTAAGTATATGCCCATTAATTAAAATATTTAGTGACAATAGTTTTATTTTAAAAAGTTGAAAAAAATTTTCATAAATCAGCCTTGATTGAGGAGTGTTATATTGGCTTCTCTTGTGATATGTAAATTAGATTTTTCTGAGTAAATTTGGTAGAAACTTAGAAATTTTTACTGTCTGACTTTTTTCTTTTTATTCTATCAGGATGTAGATATGATGGATCAGAATGGAATGACACCTTTAATGTGGGCAGCTTATAGAACACATAGGTATGTAATCATTATAAAATATTTATTCAGATCATTTTCAACATATTAAGATGTAAAATAAATGATGAGAAAAAGCAGTTAATGTTCTATTAATATTTAAAATTCTTATTATGAGTACATAGTATATAATAAATTACCTTTTTGAATATTTGAGTCTCTGTGCTTACCTTGACCTTGGTAATTGTAGTATTCTTAATCTGTTCCTCTTTTAGCAATTTTTAAGAATGAAAGATGTTATCTTATTCTTAAAACTTTTTTTCATGTTATTTGTATATTGGCAGGTTTAATATATTAATTAGTAAGTCACCTGAAAACATTTTTGGAACAATCCAGATTTAAACTTAAAAATTTAATTGTTTAATTATATAGATATTAATGACCTTACTCCTTAATCAAAATCAGAAAATGTCAGGACCAAGTATGCCCTCTTTTGAGGGGCCATACTTTATATGATGTTGCACATACTTAATACTTCATATTAGAATGTTCTGTCAGTACTGATTATAAGGTTGAGTATAGGTTAGATTAGAAGTGTTCCAAGATGGAATGCAAATGCAACCACAATCAGTTTAGTGTCTGTAATGATTTCTATAATTGAAATTAGGGTTGTTGTTGTTGTTTTTTTTTTTTTTCCTTTTCAGTGTGGATCCAACTAGATTGCTTTTAACATTCAATGTTTCAGTTAACCTTGGTGACAAGTATCACAAAAACACTGCTCTGCATTGGGCAGTACTAGCAGGGAATACCACAGTCATTAGTCTTCTTCTGGAAGCTGGGGCTAATGTTGATGCCCAGAACATCAAGGTAAAAATATCCTGTATTGATTATGCTATGTGAAATGTTAAGATCTTAATTCCTCAGTAAAAAATAGGTTTTTTCACAGACTGTCAAAGATGGAAGAAACCTCTTATTTAAGCTCAACCCTTTGCTTCCATGTGAGAATTTCTTTGGAAAGAATGGTTTATTTACTTTTGTCTTTCAGTATTGAAGTAATTTTCAGATTTTGATGGCCTTTTCATTAGTGAATTCTTACTGACTTTTGAAAAGTATATAATCCCTATCTTTATAGCTGAATGGAATAGTTTTCTGGTTTCTTTAAGAAGGTCAGTGCAGAGAATCACAAGTTTGTAGTTAAATCACATAATGCATAATAACTTTTAGTAATTCTTTGACTGATTATTGTCTTATTTTAAAGGTCAAGACCTTTAAATTTGATAGACAGCTTTATGATGTTTATAGGAAAGTCCCCACCTCCCCCAGATGTTGGACTAATCCAGGAAAAGTATACAAAATTATCTAAGAACAAAACACAATTAACATTTACACTCTGAACCATTTAGAAATTTGTAGACATTTTATCAGTACTTGAAAGAAAATTCTTTTGGTAGTTTTAAATTTTGGTTAACCATTCTCATTTTTAAAGCTTCAGGATCCACCACGTCTTTCAGCAACTCTTTCTATGAAATGACTTTCAACTTTTAAATATCATCTTTCAGTAATGTGAATTCATAAATAACTTTGTGTCCTTTGACAAATGTTCTTTAATTTTGACTATAAACCATAGTAGTTTCTGAGTCATGTTTCTTAAATTTCTAAGGGATATGTGCTAATTAAATTTGAAAGAGATTTGAGCCACATAATAATCCGAAATGGCAATCAAAAAGTAGGTTATCTCCTGCTGGATCAGGGCATCTGTTTATGTTCCAATGAATAGTTCTTTCTGTATTCGATTACTTTGAGCTTGAGCTACCTAAAATAATACAGCTTAGACTAGCTATATGGAGCCTAATGTACTTAAAATTTTAACCAATTTTTAAAAATGAGTTTAATTAAAAATAGTTAAAAGTAAATATCAAATATCTTGTTGGAAACTATGAGAAATTGAGAAATCCATTATCTTTTCTTTCTTTTTAAAATTTCAAGTCCTGGGGTGTCTGGGTGGCTCAGACGGTTAAGCATCTGCCTTCGGCTCAGGTCATGATCCCAGGGTCCTGGGATCGAGCGCCGCATCAGGCTCCCTGCTTGGCGGGGAGCCAGCTTCTCCCTCTCCCTCTACTGTTTCCCCTGCTTGTGCTCTCTTGTGCTCTCTGTCAAATAAATAAATAAAATCTTGAAAAAAAAAAATTTCGAGTCCTTTTGTCTCCACCCAAAGTGATCAGAGTGGCCTAATGTCTACCAGTAAAATACTAAAAGAGGAAAGTGTACCATAGTGCCTGACACATGATGGGCACTCTAAATATTTGTTGACAGACTGAAGATTTATGTAGTCTTTAAAGTATGAACTTTATTTATGTAGTATGAACTTTACCTCTAAGCTAGTTTTCATGACTCTGCTAGTATACCTGTCTGCCACTTCCAAAATTATAGATAGAAAATTTTGCTTTTCCAAATGTTTTTAAATAGGAAGCTCAGAAAAGTTCACAACACTGTAATTAGTAAATTAGGCCAACCTCAAGGCCTAAAGGATAAGAAAGAATGAGTTTGACTAAGGCTAACCAATATCCCCATAAGAAAAAATTAGGGAGCTTACCTTATGTTTTATAACTAAATTGCTTTAGAGCATTATTTTTCTTCTCTTTGGTACCAGACAACCATTCCTAAAATGATCATGCCTCAGGAATATATTTCAGGATATTTGGCATTAATATTATTGAAAAGGTAGAACCAGTTTTACTGTGGCAAATATTGAGTCTCCATAGACTCTGCCAAGAGCCACAGCAATATATTGAAATTACAAGAATACTAAAAATTGTGACAGCATGACTATACAGTTCTGAAATTTGAAGCTAGTAGTATATATTTTTTAGACCATTTAAAAATATCTTTTCTATCCTTATAGAATTTACATAACTTCACTTGGATCATGATCTTTAAGTATTTGAAGTGCAATTTGTAAATTTAATGTCTTTTCAAATAAATAGTGAACTTCACATTAACCATTGCATAAACTTTTATTAGACTTAGCAGAAGAAATAATTTATAATGAATTTCAACAGAAATGTAATGATAAGAGAGATATTTGAGATGATTTATATGGTTTGAACCTTATATTTTTAATATTTTGTAGGTTCAGGTGCATGAATTATTTGGTATCAAGATAGGATAAGCTTCAGTGTAGCTTTTTATTTACTTACTTATTTGAGAAAGAGAGCACTCATGAGCAGGGGGAGGGGCAGAGGGAGAGGGACACTCAGACTGCCTGCTGAGTGTGAGCCTGATGCCGGGCTCAATTCCCGGACCCTGGGATCATGACCTGAGCCGAAGGCAGGTGCTTAACTGACTGAGCCACCCAGATGCCCCTTGAATGTAGCTTTCCTAAATAGTGTGGTTCATGTGAATACCTTCCAGAGCTACAGTGTCATATAATTATTGTGCATGTAGAACTTTTTTTTTTCCTGAGAGAGAGCACGAGTGAGCATGTGTGAGGGGGTGGGGTACAGAGGGAGAGGGAGAGAGAATCTCAAGTGGACTCCTCACTGAGTGTGGTATTGTACTCGGGGCTCGATCCCATGAGCCTGAGATCATGACCTGAACCAAAATCAAGAGTCGGACACTTAACTGAATGAGCCATCCAGGCGCCCCCCAAAAGAAGTTATTTTAAATGTAATTCTCTGGTAGCTTCTGGAGTGACATCATCATCATTGTCATCATCATCATCATCATCATCATTATTTTATTTTTTTAAATTGAGGTATAGTTGGCATGCATCATTATGCTAGTTTTAGGTATACAATATAATGATTTGAACATGTTGTGGGATGACCGCCACAGCAGGTCCAGTCAGCACTGTCACCATTACATAGTCACAAAATGTCCTTTTTCCTTATGACAGGAACCTTCAAGATTTACTCTCTCAGGAACTTTCAGATATACAGTAGAGTAGTATTAACTATAGTTGCCATGCTGTACTTTACATCCCCAGAACTTAACTTATTTTAAAACTAGAAAGTTTGTATGTTTCAACTCCCTTCACTCTTTTCACCCACCCCTGACCCCTGCTTCTGGCAACCACTATTCTGTTCTCTGTATTAGTGAGCTTGGTTTTGTTTTGTTTTGTTTTGTTTTTTAGATTCCACATACAAGTGAGATCATACAGTATTTATCTTCCTCTGACTTATTTGGAGTGACATTATTTTTAAAGGAAATAAAGTCTAAGGAGTTGCTTCAGTTGCTCAGGGAACATTTATACTTTCAGAGTAAAAATAATCTTTTATCCACACTGGTGGAAAAGTAGTTTTTTTTTTTAAATGCACTTTTTGTGGAAGTTAAAAGATGAAATAAGTATCAGCTGTTTTTTTCTAATGGAATCTGGCATTCCTGATATGCTGCGGTCTAGTCACCACCTTCTAATGGAAACCATTTATTCATTCATTCATTTAACAAATATTAGTGCTGGGGAGTCCAGGTGTTTAAGACAGATGAAGTCCGTATTCTCTCAGAATTTACATTGTATTAAGGAAATAGACATTAAGTCAATTAAAACGCCCGTGTGCATGCACACAGGCAACTGTGGTACAGTGATGAGGGCTGTGAGCGACTTCTGAATACCTCTGAGGAGATGACATTTGCTTTGAGACTTGTCTGATGAAGAAGGGATCAGTTATACAAAGATATGTGGGAAAAAACTTTCCATATAGAGGAGCCTGCAAGTGCAAGTCCCAAGGCCAGGAGCAAGCTTGCCATGTTAGAGGTGCAGAAAATGACAGTCTGGACTGAGTGCAATGAGCAAAGGAGTGAAGTCACTGAGAGAGCCAGGTGCCAGATCACACAAGGCCATGATAAGGAACTTTATGTTCTCAGTCATGAGAAGCAGTTGGAAGGATTTGCGTAGGCTGGCTTTGTAATCTTTGTGTTTTAAATATTTTTAAAAGACTACTTTGGTTCCTGATGGAGAATGCATTGAAGAATTAAGAAAATGGAGGGGATGGGTGAAGATCAGTTAGGCCATTGTAATAAATCAGGCAGGTGATGTTAGTTTAGCCTACGATTGTAGGAGTAGAGATGGAGAGAAATGAATGATTTGGAAATGATCGTTTAGAGTAGATTAGATATGAGGGCGAAAGGAAGTCTTGATGACTGAATAAATAAATGTCTTGTGATATATATTGAGGTTGTGAAGACTGAAGGAAGACTTTCTTGGGGCGAGGATGATAGGAATTGGCTCTATTTTAGTCATACGTAATTTGAGGTGTAGTGCCTTCTAGCTATGTGGAATGGCAGGCTAATTAAGTAAATTTAAATTGCTGTGAATTTCAAAAGGGAAAAATTCATTAATTAAAAACAACCTAGATTCTTTGTCCAGGAATTTGACAAAGTTTATCTATGCCTGTATATTTTTCCATTTTTCATTTTAAGTGTTAAGAAAGAGAGTCTAGTTGATAATCATGAATTATAACAAAAAAGATGTGGTCTACAAATCTGGATATGGCTGTAAGAGGAGTAAGAGTTGCATTCTTCAAAGAATATGAAAAATTATACTTTGTGTTATAGTTATAGAACTGTTAGTTGATCCTTTTTCTTCTAAAACAGCTATTTGCTAACTAAGATTAAACTTGTTTCTTAGAAATCTGTCTTTATATTAGATATTTACCCTTGTACCTTAGTTATTTGAATAAGGAATTCAATTCTTTTAATATATAAATAAATGATTTTTTCCCCAAAATAAGATTACTTTAAAATGACTATTTTGATCCTTAGAAGGAACAGGAATGGCCCTATACCTTAGATTAGAAATTCTTAATCTGGGACCTACCAGTGAATTTTGGTTGGGTGGGCCCATAAATTGTTACAAAGAAATTACTTGTATCAGTACGTTTTGGGGAGAAGGTCAATGGCTTTCATCAAGTATGACTCAAAAGAATTTAAGAACCATGGCCCCAGATAATAGTTACATGGAATAAATCCAAATCTTGTGAAGTGATAACAGTAAGGGAAAGAAAAGTGACTTGGGATACTAAGATTTTTTTTTTTAATGACCTATGCAGTAATCCCTTTTTATGGTAGCTGAATTTTTAAATGTGAATTTTTAAAAAATAGTATTGTACTCCCTTCCACATGTTTTGGTTATACAGATAAATTTAGATGAATTGAATTTTGGGAGAACAATTAATCTCTGAGTGCTGCCCAAGCATTTCTAGTTTTTTTTTCTAAAAGTTATCAAACAACATAATTTTTAGTTTGTGCAGGCTGTAAAATTACTGAGCTTTGTTAATAGATTAAAAGACTCTTACATGGTTTCTTGAAATGAGGTAAGAAACTTTTTTCTAAAAATGGTTTTCTTTACCTCTTAAGTACCTGACCTAGATGGTCTCCGAGAAAGAATTTTCCTTAGTTTTAATAATGAAATTCGATCTCATGCAAAAAGTTATCTTCCACCCTCCACCTTCCATTATGTTTATCTCACCAAAACCTTAGAAAAATTTATTTTATTACTAGTTACATAATCTATAAATACTCCATGATTCTTGTTGTTATTGCTCGTTACTATCATTTACTATTTTGGCTGACACATGGAGTAATCAAATATAGACTTAATTCAGAACCCGGGCTTTAGTGTCATTCTTTAAATTAATTGCTTGTTTATTTTACCAGCTGAATAAAAGAACTATACAAAAGCAGTCAGAAGACTAGAGGAGTAGTAGTTGGAAGATTTCTTAAAGCTCCCTCCATCTTTTTATCTAGGCAATCCTTAGGTGTCACATGGCCCTCTAGTGGAAGGGATGCTCAGCTGGACCGAGGCAACAGCAGGATATTCTCTGGGAATTGTTACCCAAGGGATTGCTTTTATTCAGGTAATCTTTATAGTTTGGATTAATTAGCTGGTTCTTACAACTTAGGTGGTAGAAGTTTTGAATAGGTAAGGAGAGATTTTACAGTAAATATCCCTATTTGTGGAAGACTCACCTAGATTAACCCATTCCTTATTAAGTACTGTTGACCTTTTATTAAAGGATTGGTTGGGCTTTTTGTTGTTATTGTTGTGTTGTTATAGTTGTTGCTATTGGTGGTAGTGCCGTGCTTATTTTGTTGTTTGCTTTTTGTTTCTTAGTGTTTTTCTTTTAAATAAAGTGTACTTTATAGTTGATAATAATCGTCCCTCATAAGAAAGGCACTCCAAGGCTTATTTTTTTTATTCAGTTTTTCAAGATAAAATTTCAGTATTTTCCTTTTTTATTAACTGGTTTTGAATATTCATCCATACATTCTTAAAATTTTGGCACACAGAATTTTCATTTTGCTTTTCTATTTAAAGCAGTAGATAAATAGTGGAGAATATTAAATAAATAGAAATGTAGGTATCTGACTAATAAGGAATAAGATTTTAAATTAATAATGGCAAAAAGAAGCGTGGATCTAGAATTGGGGGCGCTTATGTCTTGTTTCTTTCTTTAAAACACTTTAGTTCTATTCACTTATACTCTTTGGCATTCTTGAGATTAAAGGGAGCTGTAGGTCCATAACTTGAGTTTCACTATTTTTTGTTACTGTTCTCATTCTCTTTGGAAATTTCTGGATGGGTGAATGAATTTAAGATGATCAGAATGCCAGTACACAGTAGTAGATATAGAAGTTGACTTTTCTTTTTCTTCCCTGTTGTCTTCAGACCTTTGTCATTACTGAAATTAAACTGAGAGGTTTCTGGCAATTTGGTATTATAGTAGGTTGTTTTGTAGTAATAAGTATTACTAATAAAACCCGTAAAGAATATGAAATGCCTGATAAACTGAATGATAGCCTCTGATCCAGCAGGTGCTAAAATACCTACTTTTTGATTTACTTTAATATAAGTCAAAATGCAACCAGAAATAGAATCTGTAGAATAAGATGAGTAAATACATTTACTGATTGTACCTTGAATGGGAAAGCATAATAATAATATGTAAAGATTTAGACTCTTTTAGTATTTGACTTTGCCCAGTGTCAAAACAATGTTAATGGACTAATTGTTCAATTTATTTTTGTGGGAGTACTTTAAAAGTTAGTAACTAAAATATTTTACTTTTTCTTTTATTTTTAATGTGAATTTTTTCTGCTTATCAGGGCGAATCAGCACTTGATTTGGCAAAGCAGAGAAAAAACGTGTGGATGATCAACCATTTGCAAGAGGCGAGACAAGCAAAAGGATATGACAATCCATCTTTCCTTAGAAAGCTGAAAGCTGATAAGGTAAATTCATGATTGAAGATTTTCAGTATATAATCTTTTTAAGTAAAATTCATAGGCATACTTTCTTAGCTGAGCATTTTTAGCTTTTAGTTTTGCCATTGGCCAGTGTAATTTTTAAAATACTATATTGCCCAGGACAAAATGAAGTTGGATAGCAGAGTTTTTCAGGGCTCTGCCTACTAGGTAATTTGATAATTAGGAAGGATGGTTATGTGTGAAATTGTTTAAATCTCCATAAGCTAACATAAATTTTAGTTCATTGATTCAGCTGGCCTTTGTTATTAAGTAATAGATAATAAGTCCTTCTTGTTTAAGTGCATTTATTAATATGGTAATAAATTATGAAAAATTGTAGTCCTAATACATATCTTTTTTTTTTTTTTTTATTCATGAGAGACAGAGAGAGAGAGGCAGAGGGAGAAGTAGGCTCCCAAGGAGCAGGGAGCCTGATGTGGGACTCAATCCCAGGACCCTGGGATCATGACCTGAGCCGAAGGCAGACGCTTAACCATCTGAGCCACCCAGGCACCCCTAATACATATCTTTTTAAACTGCTCACAACTTTAATTGATTCAAGCTTCCCATTCTTTTGTGATATGTTGTAACTTTTTTTAGAGTGAGAGAAACTTAGATTCTTCACTTCTCTATGGAAAGCCTGTTTTAGATCTTCCATATACCTTCAAGGTTAAACTGTATAATTGTTGGTTCAGTTGCCTAGTTATAATAATATCATTTCAAAACTAAGAATATTTCCCCCAAAGAGGGGTCTGTATTCCTTAAAAATTTCTTTCCTTTAAAAAGGAAAAATCATCTGGCAGTTTCTTTTATAATACTTAAATAATTGACAAGGTATTTGGCTAATTTGTCAATAATCACAGGTCGAATGGCATTAAGCCTTCAGTGCCTTTTTATTCAGTCTGTCCTAGTGGTACTACTGTTTATTTAAAGTTAATGATGTATGTGTTATCAGGGCAAAATGACAAGATTTGGACAAAGGGAAACGTGAGAACATGTCTCATTTATAGTTCAGACTTCCTTAGTGTGTTGAAACCACTGGTCATTACTTCGACATGAGAAAAGTTAGATTTATAGTGTATAAACTTGCCTTTTGAGGCGCCTGGGTGGCTCAGTCAGCTAAGCGTCTGCCTTTAGCTCAGGTCATGATCCCGGGGTCCTGGGATCGAGCCCTGTGTTGAGCTCTCTGCTCAGCTGGGAGTCTGCTTCTTCCTCTTCCTCTCCCCCACCTTGTGCTCACTCACTCTCTTTCTGTCAAATAAATAAAATCTTAAAAAAAAAACTTGCCTATTTTCAAACCCATAGTTGAGAATAATGAGCAATTTTTGCACGTTGTGTTACCTTTCATTTTACTATTAGATATAACATAGAAAATGGTTTATTTTTTTATTTTCATTAATTTTGCTCTGTCCTCCAGGATTTAAAGCAGTTTTTCTCAACACAGTGAACAAAGGCTGATGTCTCATAATAACTAAGCTTATAAGAAAAGTGTCTTGTATTACTTTGGAAAGTCCCATAATATTTATACTTTCATTTTGTTTAGTGTAAATATTCTAAAGGATTTTTTAAAAAATACATTGTCAGATAAAAATGACTTTGTAAATTCTAGATGTTTTAATAATATGTAGTTACTTATTATAGCAATATGAGCTATGTGTCATGTTTATGTGTTTGGATACAATTTCTTTTAAAAAAGAGAGCTTCAGGGGTGCCTGGGTGGTACAGTCAGTTGAGCATCCAACTCTGGGTTTCAGCTTGGGTTATGATCGCAGTCCGTGTGGGGCTCTGCACTCAGTGTGGAGTCTGCTTGGGGCTCTGCACTCAGTGTGGAGTCTGCTTGGGATTCTTTCTCTCTCTGCCCCTCCTACTCATTCTTTCTCTCTCTAAAATAAAATAAATCATTACAAAATAATAAAAAAAAAAAGAACTTCATTAAAGAGTTTAGCATAATTTTATTAACGTGTATATTATTGTGATCAGTTCAGAAGTCGAGTATTCCTTTGTTTTTTGTTTTGGTGTTTTTTGCATTAGTATTTTTAAATATATTTTTATTTATTTATTTAATTTTTTTAAATTTAATTTTATTATGTTAGTCACCATGCAGTCCATGCCCTCCTTGATGCCCATCACTGGGCTAACCCATCCCCCCACCCCCTTCCTTCTAAAACCCTCAGTTTCTCCTAGTCCATAGTTTCTCATGGTTCGTCTCCCCCTCCGATTTCCCCCCCTTCATTTTTCCCTTCCTTCTCCTAATGTCCTCCATGCTATTCCTTATGTTCCACAAATAA